TAGAAGTACAGAAATGGAGAACAATCATTTGGAATGCTTGCTGGCAAACAGACATTGCCACAACATTTTTTTTATATTATACAAAAATATCAGTCTGCCATGGATTGGGTGTTTAAAATACTGGTCCTAGGGCTGGGGATGTAGCTCAGTGGCATAAGTGCTTGCCTGGCAAGCCTGAGGTCATGAGTTCGATTCCTGGTACCAAAAAAATAAAAAATTTTTAAACATTAAGAAAAATACCGGTCCTAGCCGGGCATGATGGTGCATGCCTGTAATCCCAACACTCAGGAGGCTGAGGCAGGAGGATTGTTGGGAGTTCGACACCAGCCTGGGCTACAAAGTGAGTTCAAGGCCAGCTTGAACTACATAGCGAGACCCTGTCTCAGGAAGACCAAAAAAAAAAAAAAAAAAAAGTTGGTCCTGGACTGATGTCATGTTACACACCTGTAATCTCAGCACTCTGGGAGGCTGAGGCAGGAGAACCGTGATTTTTGAGCCTAGCTTTCTATTCCATAGAAAGTTTGAGTCTGGTCTGGACTGCACAGCAAGAACATGTCTCAAGAAACAATAACTTTTCTCCCCCACAAGTGGTTTGGGAGTACTGATCTCCTAGGTCTGGGGTGGTTCCTGTTCTGTGGACCCCAGGTCAGAGTGGAGGGGTCGCAAGTGATGCATAATCTACTGGAATGAAGCAGACTTGACAAACACCTCAGAACACTTAAGGACCTTCCTTCCCTCCCTCATTCATTTTGTGCTGACTGAACACTTGCCCTGTACCAAGCCCTAGACCTCCCAGGGTGCTGGGGAAAGCAGAGGCCTGCAGACCACCCCAGGCAGAGGTCACCTCCCCCCAGCAGGAGCCATTCCCCAGGGATGGGAACCAGAGCAGCCCCCTCCGAAGCAAAGCCGTCATCTCCTAGGAGACAAATGCCCCTCAGGCCACCGGGCTTCCTCCAGAGCTCCGGCAACCAGGACTGAGACAGTGACCCCGGAGCCACTTGGTCTTCTTTTTTTTTTTTTTTTTTTTCCTTCCGGTACTGGGAACCCAACTCATGACCTTGCGCTTGCCAGGCAGGCGCTTTTGCCGCTGAGCTAAATCCCCAGCCCCCCACTTGGTCTTCTTGAGGCAGTGGCAACTGAGAGAGCTGAGATCCTTCGGGGGCTCATAGCTAAGATAGACTATGAGCAGTTCACCATATAAATACATGAGATGATTTCAAGGAGTGCTGAGTACCCAGAGAGGTCTGGGGCAGAGAGGATCTGCAGGGTGACTATTGGTTTATGGGGTGATCAAAATGGGAATCTCCAGAGAGATGTCTTTGGAACAGCATTCCAGGTGGAGGGGGCAGTTACTGCAGAGCCTGGGGAGGGACTGGCTTGTGTGAGTGACCGGGAGAACGGCAATGTGGCCGGAGAGGACGGAACTCAGGGGACAGTAAGGCGAAGTAGAGCTGGAGCAGTAGGCCAGGGCTAAGTCACATTGCCTGCTTCAGGATTTTGTTCTAAGTACACTGCGGTTTTGAAGCAAGGCCAATTGCAGTATCATATGAGTTCTTTAAAGATCTCTGTCCCAAGGACAAGGAGTGGAAGAGAGGCAAGAGTAAAATCAGAGAGAACTGATAAGGTCTGAGGCGGTGCCCCAAAGAGGAGATGGGGACCTCAACTTGACCTGCTGGGTAGGTTCTTGACTTATATCACACACAAAAAGAATTTCAGGATGTATCTGTGAGGCATAGGAAGGTTTATCAGGCAGAGTTAGAAGGCGAGGGAGGCTAGGAAAAGCCTCTGGCCAGAGTACCTGCAGGGGCTTCCTCCGATGCAATGCAGGGGCTCAGATGGCGGCTCCCGGAAGCACGGAGTGGCTGAGGTGGGCCAGAGGCCAGGGGTCACTGTCTCAGTCCTGGTTGCCGGAGCTCTGGAGGAAGCCCGGTGGCCTGAGGGGCATTTGTCTCCTAGGAGATGACGGCTTTGCTTCGGAGGGGGCTGCTGTGGTTCCCATCCCCAGGGAATGGCTCCCGCTTGGGGGAGGTGACCTCTCCCTGGGGTGGTCTGCAGGGCTTTGCTTTCCCCAGCACCCTGGGAGGTCTAGGTGTCGCTCCCAGGGGGCTGGAACTGGATGTTGTGAATCATGACAAGTGAGTGTCCCTGCAAATCCTGAAAATTATTTAGCTGCTCCGGTGCTGGTGTGTTCAGTCTTGAAGGGGGATGAGGCAGACTAGACAAATTTTGGGTGAATAAACCTTGTTTTGTCAGCTTTTCTTTTCTTCCAGTACTGGGAATCGAACTCACAACCTCGAGCTTGCCAGGTTGTCAGTTTTTCCGGAAATATCAACATTCCTATGTGCAGGGCTGAGTAGGATCTGACCCAGCATTTGAGGGATACAATGAGTTTATCTCCTTTCTGCTTATGGTTATTTCTTCTATCCTACCTCACAATGAAAGAAGACGGTGATTTTTTTTTTTTTTTTTTTTGGTTTTTCTCCGGTACCAGGAACCGAACTCACGACCTTGCGCTTGCCAGGCAGGCGCTTTTGCCGCTGAGCTAAATCCCCAGCCCGAAGAAGACGGTGATTTGAACTTGATGGGGTGGAAGCGAAGAGAAGTGGACAGAAGATAAAGCACATCAAGCTTCTGCTGCCCATTGTGTGGAAGAAGGGATTTCACTTGGGTAACGGGATGGAATTCAGGAGGCTGGGGCCAATTTTTGTTTATGTGTCACTTTCTTGTGAGGATGGTTTTCATCCTAAGGAGAGGTGCGCCTTCCTTTAGGGTCTGCAGGTGCAGACACAGAGGGCTGGGGAATAACCCCCACTGAGGGGTTTCCTGTTCTTCATTCACAAGCCTCTACGTCTGAAGCCAGAATATAGAACTCACAACCACAACAACCACCTTGGAAAGCCCTCTAGGCTGCCATCCAAAACATAGGCATTGGTGAGGATGTGGCGAAATCGGAACCCTGATGCATTATTAGTAGGAATGTAAAACGGTGCAGCTTTTGTAGAAAACAGTTTTGTGGTTCCTCAGAGAGCTAAATATAAAATGATCATATGACCCAGCCATTCCACTCCTAAGTCTACACTTTTCCTTCTTTTTTGGGGGGGCAGGTACTAGGAATCGAACTCGGTACCTTGTGCTTGCCCGGCAGGTGCTGTTCCGCTGAGCTATGTCCCCAGCCCATCTACACTTCAAAGAATCAAAACCAGGGACTCAGATCTTTGCACTACAATGTTTATTCTGCATTGTTCACAAAGGGTGGAAACAATCCAAGTGTCCATCAACAGGGGAATAAATAACAAAAATGTGGTTTACGCAAACAATGCACCATTATTCAACCATCATATTTTTTTCCAGTTTTTATTTTTTATGAGTACATGTTTGCAGTACATAATGATTCCCTTCCTCATGGGGAATTGGTACCCGTACAAATCACAGCTTCTTTCTTCATTCCCATCCCACCTGCTCCCTCCCCCTCCTTCCCTCTCTTGTGACAATACGGATGAATCTTGAAAACACTATGCTAGGTGCATAAGCCAGGCTCTACAGGGCAGATACTGTATATTGTCATTTGGGTGAACCGTCTCAAATCGGTTGCATCATAGATGAAGAGACTAGATTAGAGGTTACCACGGTCTGGGGGAAGTAGAGTGGGACAGTAATCGCTTCATGGTTACAGTGATTCTGTGTAGGGTGCTGAAATTGTTTTGGAAACAGTGGTCATGGCTGTACAATATCTTAAGTCAGTTAATGCCATCAAATTCTACACAAAAATGGAAAACCTTGCAATAAAAAAAGGCAATGCAAGGTAGTTTTTTGATACAACTGTGACTCTGTAGGTCAAACATGCTGATTCGGAAGGGAAGCTAGATGCTTGGTGCCACTTCATATAGGAGGCGATGATCAAAGGGAAGTTACATGCAGGAGGCAATCATGAGCTGACTTTAAGATTTCACAAGTGGATGAGAGAAGGCCGAGCGTGGCAGTGCACACTGTAATTCCAGCACTCAGGAGGCTGAGGCAGGAAGATTGCTGTGAGTTCAAGGCCAGTCTGGGCTACACAGTGAGTTCCACACCAACTGGAAGAAAACCCGTGACAAACAAAACAAGAGGATAAAAGGAGAAATTTTCAGCAAGGTCTGAGTCCTTTTCCTCTAAGGATCCTGATGCCACTGCCTGCATTATAATCTTGGCTGTTAGTAACTGGCTCTGTGATCTTCAGACCTGTTGGAGCTTGAGTCTCCTCATCTGTAAAATGGCATTAGTAATGTGTACCAGCAGGCTGCGGTTGTTGCAAGGATTCACTTAGTGAATATGTGTAAACTTAGATCAGTTCTAGCAGTCAGTAAACGTTATGTGTTTGCAGTTCTTACTTTCTTTTTTTTTTTTTGAGATAGGGTCTCCCTATGCAGTTCAGGCTGGCCTCAAATTTACAGGGATCCTCCTGCCTCAGCCTCCCCAGTGCTGGGATTACAGGCATACGCCACCACGCCGGCTTATGTTCATTTTTATGAAAGTGAATATTGTGGGGGAAAAAATGTAAGAAAATAAAAATCACTTATTTAAAACTGCTGACCGTTTTTGTTTGTTTGTTTGTTTTTTGTTTGTTTTGTTTTGTTCCGATACCGGGAATCAAACTCACGATCTTGCGCTTGCCAGGCAGGCGCTGTGCCGCTGAGCTACATCCCCAGCCCCTGCTAACCGTTTATTGTATTTTCTGCCACAAGTCTTTGTTTATGAATATACAGGATACAGAGCTCAGCAAAGCAGCTCTTTAGGCTTTCTCCCTCCAGACTGCTCCCACACTCCTCAGATTCCTATTACCTTCCAAGTCTGGTCCTAGACAATGGGATTTTAAACAAAAACCCGCCCCTTTGATTTCACCACACGAAACACGCCCTAGGTAGACGCATGCGCACTCTGGGTGTTCCGGAGGGGTGGGACTTGGGGGAGGGTGTTCTTTCTCAAACGGAAGTGACGACAGCAAAGACCAAGAGGAAGTCGCGGAAGAGGGCGGGTCTGACGGCGCGAGGAGCTCGCTTCCGGAATTGACCTCTGCTTCAGCATGCTTGCGGAGCTGGGTTTAATCGGGACGATAGGCGAAGATGACGAGGTGCCGGTGGAGCCCGAGTCTGACTCCGGGGACGAGGAGGAAGAGGTATGAGCCGAGCGGTGGTTATGAAAGACAGCAGCGGCAGGGCCCCGGCCCGTGGGCTACCTTGACCAAGTCCCTTCCCCGCGATTGCTCCGGACCTCGTCCTTGAGTCCTCAGCGCCCCCCGGGGCGGGTCTCGCCGGGATCCTAGCTCTTCCTCGGTTTGCCCACCGCCTCTGCGCTGCTCATGCGTGTCGCCTTGCAGGACACGATATCCGTCCGCTGACCGGATGGTTAATCCGGGCCCTGCTGTAATAGCGTCCAGGGGTGAAATCAGTCGTGGTTCCTGCGCGGAGAGCCGTGTTGTCTATCGAGGCAGGGTTTACTAACGTTGCCAGGCATAGTGTTAACTTGGGACTGAGCAGCGCACAGCGTGAGCTGCACCCCCCAGCAGCTTGCGTCGGAGTGGGACATGTACGCGGTGGCCTGCAAAAGGCACTTGCTGTTCAGAGATTCAGCCCTGGTGTTTTTCCCCCGCACTCGTCCACGGCCTCAAGAAATCACTCCTGGTCTCCCGCACCTTCCCCTCTTTCCATCTCAAGCCAGAAGCCTCGAAGTGATTCTTGGCAGCTTCTTCCTTCCCTTCCCGTTTCCCCTACACCCCGGCCCGTGGCAGCCACCTGTCTGCTCTCTGGTCCTATGCTTTGGGCTTTGATTCTGCCATTCATTCTGTAAGGGTAGGAGCTGCGTCCACGGTGTGTTCATCGAAATGAAGCTTGTTAATTGTGTCAGTCGGGTTTTCTGCAAGCTGACTCATGTTGGCTTGCTTGATCTGTCAGTTACTGAGAGGTACCTTAGAAATCTCTCACGTCTGTAAATCAGTCATTTCGTCCTTGGGATCTGTTTTGCCTTGTGTAATTCTGTTCTCTTACGGGCCACCATCCTTTCCTCCTTGTTTCCTCTCGGCCCCGGAGTCACCCTGTCTCTTCTCTTCCCAGGGGCCCATTGTGCTGGGCCGAAAGCAGAAAGCCTTGCAGAAGACCCGCAGTGTTGATTTCAATCCTGACTTCGTTTTTACGGAGAAGGAATCTATGTACGATGACAGCTGGGCCCTGGCTGATGTCATGAGCCAGCTCAAGAAGAAGGTAAGACTGACAGTGATGAATAGTTGGGGACAGTGGGCTGTGAAGGTTAGGTAGTGGGTCAGAGGGAGTTCACCCTTACCTCAATGCTTCTCATCATTCAGTGGATTCTGAAACTTCTTTGAAAACATGTGGTATAGTTTTGATGGTATAGTTTTTTGGTTTTGTTTTGTTTTTGTCTGTTTCTGAGACAGGGTCTCACTCTGCAGTTCAGGCTGGCCTTGAACTCACTTTGTAGCCCAGGCTGGCCTCAAACTTGCAACAATCCTCCTGCCTCAGCCTCCCGAGTGCTAGGGTTACAGGCATGCACCACCATGCCTGGCTTGATGGTATAGTTTTGAAGGAGGTCATAACCCACAGTCTTGATTAACACCAAGGTATAAAATGTTCCAAAGTGGATTTATTGCAAACTATAGTACAGTCATATTCGTCTGTCTGTAGATGACATGTAGAAGTATTACCCCGTAATAACTTTTCCTGGAGATGGAGGCAGTAAGCTATGACTTACTTCAGTGTAAGGCAGACCTTTTATAGTGCATGCCTACCAGCAGCTCGGGTTTAAGTCCAGCTAAGGCCACATAGTGAGGTCTCGTTTCTTAAGAAGGAAAAAAAAAAGATTTTAGAGGAAATTTGCTGATGGCCCAATGATTGAGTTGAAAAATATATGTATCTATGTTGACGTGTTCCCATGTTTAGATGTCCCGCCCTCCTCTGTTTTGTCAGCACTAGTGATTGATCTCAGGGGTGTTCTACCACTGAAGTACATCCCCAGCCCCCTTTTAAAGACACTTTTTATTTTGAGACAGGGTCTTATTAAATTGCTCAGGTGGGGCTTGAACTTACGGTCCTTCTGCCTCAGTCTCCCAAAGTGGTGGTTTTACAGGCATGTGCCACCATGCCTGACCAGCCTTGGGGTTTTTGATCATGTACTCTGCCTCTGCTCCACAGATACAGCCATTTCTGTGTCACTTGCTAGGTGTTCTGATAGGGCATCACTTGCAGGGTCTTTGATCCCACACACTACAGCCAAAGCTGCCACCATTGTGACTGTCTTTTGCTTGTTTGCCAGGACCCTGTGCATTTCTGTAAATCTGGTTAATAAGCTAGAAGAAGCAGCATTTTTTTTCCATTCACATGCTTCAAAGAGAGACAAATATTGCCTATTCAGAACAATTTAATTCACATTCTTCTGGTTCTTGTTCTGACTGAAGTAAGTCAGCATACCTTTTCAAGATCATCTTGAGAGGATTTTATATAAATATATACAGTATGTATATTTTTTCAGGGAATAGCAAACATATTTTTCAAGTTAATGATGAAGTGTTTGTTTTCCCGTCCCATCTTTTAAAATTCATTTCAGGTTCATTTAACAAATATTCTATTTGTTGCCAGGTTCTACTGTATAGCCCCATGCAATTAGGGACTTTGTCTTAGAAGCTTATAGTTTAGCAAGGTACAAAATAGATGAATAATTGCACAATTAATTGCATTTGTGGCAGGTGCCGTAATGATGCAGGTTGCTATAAGCGTACATAAAGGGGGCCTACCATTACTTACCCTTTTTATTTATTTATTTATTTATTGTCTTTTTGAGACAGGGTCTCACTGTGCAGTTCAGGCTGGCCTTGAACTCACTTACGTAGGCCAGGCTGGCCTCAAACTCACAAAGATCCTCTTGCCTCAGCTTCCCGAGTGCTGGGATTATAGGCATGCGCCACCATGCCTGGCTAGGTACCCTTTTTAAATTTTTTATTTAATTTAATTATTTTTTCTTGAGAAAGGGTCTCACTGTGTAGCTCAGGCTGACCTCGAACTAATGGCAGTCCTCTTCCCTCAGGCTCCTGAGTGCTGGGATTCCAGACTTGTGCTACCAGGCCTGGCTTCTTACCCTTTTTGAAGTTTTAGTGGTACGAGCATTACCTGGTTTTACTTAGATTTCAGCCTTTTAGTTAATAGACTGTGTTGTGCACTGTGGTGCACACCTGGAATCCCAGCACTTGGGAGAGTGAGACAGGAGGAGTACCTCCAGTTTGAGGCTGGCCTAGGCTCCCCGTGAGTTCAAGGCCAGCTTGGACTATGTAGCAAGAACCTGTTTCAATAAAGTGAATGCAGTAGACCCTTGACACTATAAAGTCAGTGCACACCCGAGGGCTTCTTGTAACTCCAGTTGTCAATTGAAGGCTCAGGCTCCTCTACAGAGCCTTCAAAGTCTCTCTCCTGTGCAGGCAGATCTCAGCATCCTTAGAGAGAGGTTGGCCCAGGATTTCTCTCTTTTTTTTTTTTTGGTGCCGGGAATTGAACTCACGACCTCGTGCTTGCTGGGCAGGCACTGTGCCACTGAGCTACATCCCCAGCCCTAGGATTTCTCAATTAACTCCATACAGGAAGGGATGTAATGTTCCTTTCAAAACTCTTTAAGGGTTAAATCTCTTGCTGAGACCATCTGGAAGCACAAGTGGCTGGCATTAGGATCATAACTCAAGACTTTGGTCGTAAGTTAAAACTAAAATTCCAGTCATAACCCAAATTGCTTGTATGTCAGGCCAGTTGTAACTCAAGGGTCCACTGTAAATAAATATATCAAAGGGCTGGGTTGTAGCTTATTGGTAGAGTTCCTCTAGGTTCCGTCCCCAGTTGCACAAATGAAACGAAACACACAGCAGAAACAAGAAAATCAGACTGCATATTGTATTGCTTTCTGTTAGTCTGAAGGTTTTACTTTTTACAAATGTACTATTTATTTAATACTTGTTTCTCCCTCTGGACTATGAGTATTCTGCAGATTGATTAATTTGTTGAGGGCCTGAGAGACCTTTTCTGTGTTACTGTCTGAGACCTGACAGTCCAGAAAACCTTGCTTGGTCTCAATATTTCTTTCTCTTTACTTTTATCTACAGAGGGCAGCCACTACGTTAGATGAGAAGATTGAGAAAGTGCGAAAGAAAAGGAAAACAGAGGTGAGAAAGAAACGCAGCTATGTCTCGCTGTTGTGCTGGGAGCTTTACCCTCAGCACCTCCTCACCGTTTCTCTCTGAGCCTGAGCTGGGCGCAGCTTACGCAGGTGCCTTGGCGTGTGCTTGTCACCCATTTTCACTAAGAAGCACACAGCGTCTGTCTGGGCTGCAGCGCTCAAGGGTGCTCCTTTCGGTTCTGAATTTCCTGAAATTTGTGGTTACTTTGCTTTATTTTGAATTTTGTTCCCAGGATAAAGAAGCCAAATCAGGGAAGTTGGAGGATAAAGCAGCCCAGGCGGGCTCTGACCTAGAGGAGCAGGAGGCTCTTGAAGGGAAAGAGGAGGTAGCAGCTTCTGCAGATGAAGAGTCAGAGACCGACTACTCATCTGCTGAGGAGAACATCCTCACCAAAGCAGGTAGACGTTATGGTGGGGTGTGCGAACTGGGACTGGAGCCGGGTATAGTGGCACATGCCTGTAATTCCAGCCCTCTTTTGCAAATTTGAGCCCAGCCCCGGGGAAAGTTAATGACTTAGTGAGACCCTACCTCAACATTTAAAAAAATTTTAAAAAGGGCCGGGGATGTAGCTCAGTCCGATGACTCTTGGCTCAATTCCTAGTCCTGCTCACACACAAAAAGAACTGGGACTGGAAGCTGGGAAGCCTCTGTCTCCACTTGGTAGGAATTCTTGTCTTACATACGATAGTGTAGAGCATCTCCCGGCTGTTACGCTCAAGGTTTTGTTATCCCTTGGGCTTTTGTTCAGGTTGGTGTACTTTGCAGGCAGCTTCTTCTTTCCCCATGCCAGCCCCACACAGCTGCCAGATGGCTGTGTGACTAAAACCTACTGGAAGTGGTATCCGGGGACTCCCCCACGTAGGGCAGTATTTCTGGTGGAAATGTACGTAATGTGTTATAATGTGGTATAGTGTTGAGAAGCTTGTCTCTGGACTGCACTTGGGAACTTCGCTTCCTGTCTGACCTTAGGTGAGTCCCTTAGCCGCACTGCCCCTCCGTGTCCTCATCTGGGAAGCAAGGCAGGGGTGTGGGCTCAGAGGTGGCCCACATAAAACACCAGGACAGCATGGAGCAGATGCGGGTGTTCAGTGTGTGGAAGCCGTGAACAGCTGGGTTTTTCTCCCTAGATACGCTCAAAGTAAAGGAGCGGAAGAAGAAGAAGAAGAAAGGACAGGTGAGCTTGGGAAACAGGGCAGCTTGTTTTGGGCACCCTGAAAGGATTTTGAGGTTTTTGTGTTCTTGGGCTTTTTGCTGAATTCTCCCCCTCTGTCCTTTGGTCTGGTGTAGGAGACGGGAGGATTCTTTGAAGATGCATCTCAGTATGATGAGAGTCTCTCCTTCCAGGACATGAACCTCTCCCGGCCTCTTCTGAAGGTAGGGCTGCTTTTGCAGCCTGGGTTGGTTCTTACACTACCCCCTTACTGCACTGCTGGTTCCCTCAACTCTGTTGTCCACATAGCTGCTGGAGAGGCCACTTAGGCAGTAAGTTCCATCCTGTCCCTCCTCTCTCTGAGCCCTTTATAGCTCCCACTTTCACCTGGGGTAAAAATCAGATTCCTTACAGAGTTCTGAAACACTGCTTCTTGGCCTCTTCTGACAGCATCGTTTTGTGCTCACTGTGCTCTGGCCACATGGCCTTGCTGGCCCTCGGCTGGGTCATGCATCTTCTTCCCCAGGGCCTTTGTACTTGCTTCCCTCTGCTTGGAAGACTCTTCTTCCAGGAGGCTGTTGTTGCTCTCTCACCACTTCAGGCTTCAGTGAGACCTGGCCTGATAGCCCTGTTGTGAATCGCACTCCCTTCCCTCCATGGCCGCTTTGACTGCTTGTTTTGTGTATAGCATGTATCTCCCTAGGACATATGTTTGTCTCTCAGTCTGTTCCTTTTGCTGGATTGTCAGCCTCCTGAGGGCAGGGCTTTTGCTTTTTGTTTTGCTTGTTTTATTTATTGCTGTATGCCTAGTTTATAGAACAGCATCTCACACATGGTAGGCACTCAGTCTGTGTGTGGACTGAATTCCTGAGAGGACTGATAGAGTCGTACTTGTCTAGAAATGCGCTCTGTTCACTCCCTGCTGAGACCCTACCCTGCCCATCTGTCCCTGTCTTTTCTCTTCAGGCCATTTCAGCCATGGGCTTCAAGCAGCCCACGCCAATCCAGAAGGCATGCATCCCTGTGGGTCTGCTAGGGAAGGACATCTGCGCCTGTGCAGCCACTGGGACAGGTGAGGCGATGAGGCCATGGCGGTGGGCGGTGGGGAGCAGGGCCCCTTACACCTAGAACAGGGCTCCAGGTTGACTTGCAGAAGGCTGGATGTTAAACATGCTTGGATTTTTGGACTATATAAAAAGTTCATAGCAGTTGGTGGTTGGTGGTTTGAATGGCTTTTGAAGTTGCGGGGGAACTCTGAGGTGACCAGTTCCTGTGTTGTCTTCACAGCAGCATTTTAAAGCATACGGATGTTGTTTCTTAGGTGTCCTGCTACCCCCGCCCCAAGGCTGTAGCTGGATGGAACTTGGGGAGACAGGAAGGGTCCTCAGTTGTGGGGGGACCAGGAAGTGAGCCAGCAGCCTGGACTGCCAGTCCCTGCCAGAGCTGGAGTGGGGACAGGAACTAGGGCAGGAGACTAGGTCTTGCCGCCTTGGCCCCAGCAGGTCACCTGTCTGACCCACCTCCCTGCAGCTGCTGGGGCAGAGATAGACTGAACAGTCTAGTCCTTAAAGCGCCGCGATGACAAAATACAAACCCAGTGTACTGCACGTACATGGCTTGAAGGCCCAGGCCAGCTGGGCCAGTTGGTCTGTAGAGCCCAGGAATCAGCTTCATATAAACCGGAACGGAATGGGCCAGTGATCCTAAGCCTGTCTCTTCAGGTTACAAGTGACACGTGACAGCAATGTGTGTGTCATCACCTCCTGTCACTCTTGTCCTGTGTCACTCTTGTCAGCACTTGATCCCTTCCAAACCACATAGCAAGTGATGGGGCCCAGGGGCTGTCATATCAGCCTTTTTTCGTAAAAGATCAAGAATTGCCACATTTAGCTTGTTCACACATTCTTTTTGGAGGCACTTCGGCAATCCATGGCCCGATTCTTGAAAACTTTATTAAAAAATTATTATTTTTTTATGTTTTTGGGTTTTCTCCGGTACCAGGAACTGAACTCACGACCTTGCGCTTGCCAGGCAGGCGCTTTTGCCGCTGAGCTAAATCCCCAGCCCCATTAAAAAATTATTCAGTTAACCTATTTATACTAACTTGTGCTAAAGGAATAAAAGATGGTTGTAAGCAGGGCTTTTGGATGTTGACAAGGCCTGGCTCATTCAAAAATAAATACATTAGGAAAATGCAGTAAAAAGTGCCCTCAAGGGCCAGGGATACAGCTCAGTGGCACAAGCGCCTGCTTAGCAAGTGCGAGGTTGTGAGTTTGATTCCTGGTACCAAAAAAAAAAAAAAAAATGCCCTCATCTCCTGAGTTTGCCCCGTTACCCCCCAACCCACTACTGTGTTAGTACCCTTGGACATTCCAGTGTTTACAGATACAAATACAATTGAAATATATTTCAATTCAAATGTAAATACATAGATATTCCATCCCTCCCCTTTTTATTTTGAAATGATCATAGAGCAGGGAGGAGTAACAAAAATAGTGAATTGAGTCCCTTGAATCCTTCACTCGGTCGTAACATACCACTTAACTGTAGGACAGTGACTTTTATCTCAGGGCCTAGGGGGTTGTTCAGCGGCAGAGTGCTTGTTAACCATGTGTGACACCCTGGGTTCCATCCCTAGCACTGCAAAGCAAAATTTTATCTCTGGTTGGCTGCCTTCTGGGTGATTTTTATTACTTTTATGGTTCTTTGTATTTCCCAGGTATTTTTACATTGACTATATCATTTGAAAGCAGCAGAAAGTTCTATGAAAATTAGTTTTTTTTGGGCGTGGTAGCACATACCTGTAATCCCAGCACTTGGGAGGCTGAGGCAGAAGGATTGCAGTGAGTTTGAGGCCAGCCTGGGCTACATAGGAAAATACAAGACCACCTGGGCTACATAGGAAATTCAAGGCCAGCCTGAACCATATAGTAAGACCCTGTCCAAAAAAAGCAAAGTTTTTCATGTTTTCCGGACCAGACAGGCTTATTGTGCTTATGTGAAACCCTAAGTAAAGCTAGAAGGAACTGAATCTTTCCTTGCTTTCCTGCCGTCTTCTCCAGGTAAAACTGCAGCTTTTGCTCTGCCAGTCCTGGAGCGTCTGATCTACAAGCCCCGCCAGGCCCCAGTCACCCGTGTGCTGGTGCTGGTTCCCACTCGAGAGCTGGGGATCCAGGTGCATTCCGTCACCAAGCAGCTAGCGCAGTTCTGTAGCATCACCACCTGCCTGGCTGTCGGTGAGTTTCTGGGCTGAGGGCTGCATGCCATGGGGGAGGATGGATGTGCGCTGCTCTTCCAGGCAGGGAATGCCAGAAAGGCTTTATGTTGAATCCACTGAAAAATTGCATGATAAAGGGTGGTGTCACACTGGTGAGGCTGAGGCAGGAAGATCATTGCATGTCTGAGACCAGTCTGGACTACAAAGTGTATTCAAAGCTAGTCTGAACTGTGTAGTGAAATCCTGTCTCAAAAAGACGAAAAAAAAAAAAAAAATTTGTGTGACATGTTTTCATAATAGTAGGAGGAGGGGATTTCATTGAGACCAAACTAACCTTAAAAAATGAAACTTCAAAATTATGAAAAAAAATTTTTTTCCTGGTACTGAACAAATTGAGGATATAATGTAGTATATATATTTTACTTACCGTGAATGGTGAATCAAAGTATTTGGGGCCAACTTTACTTATATGAAGTTACATGATGTTACCTAGGCTGCATTTTACCAAAGGTGATTTTTGTGCTTGTTAGAGACATCATCAGTTTTCACAGATGCTTCTTTTTTTTTTTTTTTTTTTTTTTTTTTTTTTGGTTTTTCTCCGGTACCGGGAACCGAACTCACGACCTTGCGCTTGCCAGGCAAGTGCTTTTGCCGCTGAGCTAAATCCCCAGCCCTCACAGATGCTTCTTCATGCTTCAGTCCATGGAAGTTTTAATTTCTATATTCTGAAGTGTTTGGGGGTCATTGTCATTTTTGATTTTTGCACTTACTCCAATTATAATTAAATCTGTCTCTTCCAGTGTATTACAGAGTTCACGTGGGTGAGGCCTGTGTCACTCTTATTCTCAGGGTTTTGCTGTGCATCTGGCTGAGGCAAAGGCAGATGGCAGGTGATCAGTGGACGCGGGTGAATGACCCACTGACCCAGCCACCTGGTGGGGTTGTCTTCTTCACAGGTGGCCTAGATGTGAAGTCTCAGGAAGCAGCGCTTCGGGCAGCACCTGACATCCTCATCGCCACCCCGGGACGGCTCATTGATCACCTTCACAACTGTCCTTCCTTCCACCTGAGCAGCATTGAGGTGCTTATCCTGGATGAGGCTGACAGGTACGCCCGCAGTGTGGGGCACAAGGGGTCCAGTGACTGAGGTCCCGAAGGCCACAGCCCCGGACATGACAGCGGGCACCCTGGGTTATGCTACAGAGCTGTCAGCCACGGGTGTGTGATAACTCTTTAACTGCCCACACTGGACGTCTGTCCAGGCTTAGCGTAGATTTTCCTGCTTTCTTTCTCTCTTTCTGTAGTAAGATGATTAAGAGGTAAGGTAGATTAAGTATGGGCTCTGCCACATCCTAGCCAAGATTTGGGATGTCAATAAGATTTTCAAAACAAAACTTTTTCTTGTTATACATGGAGACATGAATAGTACCCAGCTCACAGTGAAGAGGCATCAAGTGATAATACAAACACAGCATCATGCGTAGTGAAGCTTCCACGGGCTGTCCACACAACTGTAATGGGGACGCCCTCTCTTCTGCCCTACCCCTCCCGCCGCTTCTGTCTCTCACTTCCTTTTTCTCATCCATGTCCTACCTACTCACCGCTTTCCTTCAGCTGAGCCAAGTGACCTGAACTGGCGATAAATTGGTGCAGGGAAGTCACAGATAAGTCAGAGCACGTGAAGGTTGACTTAAATTGAGGCATGCTCGAACTAAACAGGTTCTCAGGCAAGAGAACCTCTGTGTGGGTGGCCCTGTCTTTTTCCTGGCTTGGCCAGTAGCAGTTCCATCCTTCCAGTTGTTCTGGCTGAAACACTTGGTGTCGTCCTTGTGTCCTCTTACTGGTGAATGCCGTCAGTACACACCCCCTGGCCCTCGCTATAGGGGTCCGCAGTGCCCTTCCTCCAGCTTGGAGTGCCTCCTTCGCCTCCTCAGGTTTCTGTCTGAGCAAGGGTGAAGGGCATGACGTTGGCCAGGAGCCTCATCCCAACAATGGTTTTTCTGCATCCAGTCACAGGGAGACAGCTAGATAAATCCAGAGTGTGAACAAGGCTGAGGGAACTTTCTAGGTGAAGGGAGGCTAAAGAGACAAGAACTATAGCCATGTGCAGTCGAGGAACTTTGGTTCTTGGACTCAAATAAAAGACAACTGTAAAATCACGTTCTGAGGACAGCTGAAGAAATTTGAATATGGCCTGTACTTTAGATTTGTTCAAACACTTTGATGTCTTGGGTGTAGTGATGACATTGTCGTTATGTAAAAGGTAATTTTCTTAGAAGATTAGCGCGATAGTAGTTGGAGATAAGATGTCATGACATCTGTGACTTGCAAAAAAAGAAAGTAAATATGGCATTATGATGGTGGGTCTTGGAGAAAGGGTAAATAACAATTATATAAAATAAAATACATGGGGCCGGGAATTTAGCTCAGCGGCAAGGCGCCTGCCTGGCAAGCTGAAGGTCATGAGTTCGGTTCCCGATACCGGAGAAAAACCAAAAAAATAAAAAAATAAAAAAATAAAAAAATACATGAGCTTTAACTACAACCAGTGAGAGCAGAACCGCGGCCTGCGTGGCGCTCTGTTCCCCGATGAGCGCCACCCCAGTCTGTCGTGTCTTCACTCTGCCTCTCCAGGATGCTGGACGAGTACTTCGAGGAGCAGATGAAAGAGATCATCCGATTGTGCTCCCACCACCGCCAGACCATGCTGTTCTCGGCCACCATGACGGATGAGGTGGGTGTGCACCGGGGCGGTGCAGAGGACCCCGGCTGGGCTGGAGGGGGCTTGCCTGGGTGAGCCCTCCGCCTCCCCACAGAGAGCTGAGTGTCCCTGGCTTTCTGTTTGGCAGGTGAAAGATCTGGCCTCAGTCTCTCTGAAAAACCCTGTCCGGATATTTGTGAACAGCAACACAGACGTGGCTCCCTTCCTGCGGCAGGAGTTCATCCGGATCCGGCCGAATCGGGAAGGGGACCGGGAAGCTATTGTTGCAGGTGAGTGTCCAGGGCAGGTTGGCATGCTGGGGCTGCACACTGGAGCACGTGGCTTTTGCCCACTTCCCTGCTCCTCCGTCTCCCCTGGCTCAGTGCGCTGCGCTGCTGTCCGTTCACTGCAGCGTTTTCTCCGAGTGCTTGCTCTGAGCACCTTGCCTCCCTCCTGCCATCCAGTCTGCTTTACGTCCTCCTGAGCCCCGCTCTGGCCCTTTACTGCAGACACTACTGCCCAGTGCCTGGGTTATTGCTGCAGCTTCTTCCTCGCTTTTCCTGGTCCTGTGGCCCTTTGTAATTCATCCTTCACATTGCACGTCAGATCTTTCCAAAACACTTGCTCTTGTTACTTCATTATTTAACACCCTTTGGTGGTTTCCAGGGGTCTTCTGCAGAAGTGCAGACTTCCTAGAGTGTGCTTCAGGGCTCTCCAGGACTGCTTGGTGCAGGCCCCATCTGGGCAGGCTTGTTGGCGGCTCCTGCCACAGTTGTCTGCTTGAGCCTTCTCATCCCACCACGCTTGTTCTTCACGCTCTCTGACGTTTATCACTCTGCACAGGGCAGGGGCTGGGCCTGTCTGCCCCATGCCACGCATAGCAGCTGCCCTTCTCAGGTGAGGGCGGGGTGTGTGCTGTGTAGGAACCTGAAAACAGCTGCTGGCTCACTCTTTCTCCCTGCCAGCTCTGCTGACAAGAACCTTTACTGACCACGTGATGCTGTTCACTCAGACCAAGAAGCAGGCCCACCGCATGCACATCCTCCTGGGGCTCCTGGGGCTGCAGGTGGGTGAGCTCCATGGCAACTTGTCACAGACCCAGCGGCTGGAGGCCCTCCGGTAATGTTCTGCGCAAGGGCTGACACCACCCAACCCTCCTTGGGGAGGCCAGAGAGGGTTCCCTCATTCAGCAGGTTCTAGGCATCCAGAAGGTTATCTTAGAGCAATAGTAGACACAGCGTGATGCCATGCTTTAAAAATTTTTATCTAAGTTGGGGTGGTGGCTGGTACGTCTAGTCTCAGCTACTTAGCAGGCTAAAGCAGGAGGTTCCCCTGAGCCCAGCAGTTTGAGGGCATCCTGGGAAACATAGCAAGACTTCATTTAAATTTTTTTTTTTAATCTGAGCAGAGTTCTAGATGCATTTAGAACTCTGCCTTTGTTTTCATGGATAATAACCCCCTTGGCCAGGATCTCATCCTGTGTGGGAGCTGCTAAGTGAAACTATAGCAGGAAACTGGGAAATCCAACAGATAGTCTGTTCCTGCGGTTTTCCCAGAGCAGTGACATCCCTGGGCCCAGTTGAACAGGACTTACACTCGAAGCCAGCAGCCGTTACTTGGGCATCTGCTTTGGCAAGCACCGTAATTTCTGGGTGATTTTCATTTAATTCTCACAGAGCCCGCATCCATCCTTGTTCATCAGAGGTGCTTGGAGGTGTTAGAGCAAGGCCAGTTTGAACACGGAGACTTTAGCCTCCGTTCTTCCCTGTAGTCTGGCTCAGTGAGTCTGAGTTCGTACAGGATTGACTGCGTGAGGTAGTCCATACAGAACTATCTTGCCCTACAGAGTAGGTGAAGGGTGAGTGTGTAAGTGTTGGATGCGCTAACATTTAGACTCTGTCCGCACTACGATGGCCTACAGCCTGCTATTTCTTTCTAGGCGCTTTAAGGATGAACAGATTGATGTCCTTGTTGCCACAGATGTGGCGGCCCGTGGACTTGACATTGAAGGGGTCAAAACGGTGAGTAGGTCCTAGCTTCCTTGTACTTGATGGGATCTCTTTGCCACCTCCCAACACCCTTCTCCTCCACCTGACCCGTGCTCGATGCCGACCCTCCAGGTAATCAACTTCACCATGCCCAACACCGTCAAGCACTACGTGCATCGGGTGGGGCGAACTGCGCGAGCTGGCAGGGCTGGGCGCTCTGTGTCTCTGGTCGGGGAAGAGGAAAGGAAGATGCTGAAGGAGATTGTGAAGGCTGCCAAGGCCCCTGTGAAGGCCCGGATCCTTCCGCAAGGTGAGGAGCTCAGCTCTCCTTGGCACAAGTGTCCGTTGGGGGCAGGGGCACAGGATGACAGCGAGGAGCAGCACTGCAGCCGGGACCAGCCTGAGTCCTGGCTCTGCTGTCTCCCTGCCAGTCCCCGGCGGGTCTCACCTCGTTCCTGTGGGCTTCAGGCTTCCATGTGTGAAAGGGATTGATGATAGAACTCTAAACGAAGAGCTACTCACAGGTACTTTCCCAGGAGAAACTGATACGAAAAGGTCTCTTCTGGGGGCAGAGTTCCCACTAACCTTCCTCTTCATGTTGGTCAGGAAGAAAGAGAGTAGGGAGGAAACAGCACTTACAATCTTTTAGTAGCTTTCATTCTTTTTGTTCCTCTGATCTCTAGGGGTCAGGTCAAACACAAATATCTTAAAATTACTTTCTTGTGTGTGTGTATTTGATATCGAGGACTGAGTCCAGGGGCTTTGCACTGAGCTACTTACCCAGCCTGTTTTTAAAATTGTTAAGTTTTGAGACAAGAGTCTCACTAAGTTGTCAAATTGCTATCTGGGCTCAAACTTAGAGTTGTCCTTGCATCAGCTGTCTTGAGTACTATGATTACGGCGTGCACTACCACGCCTGGCTACTTTTTTTACTGTTACAAAAACAATATGTTCATTATATATTAATATGTATGGAAAATAATAAATAAAAATATAATTCTAGGGGGCTGGAGATGTAGCTCAGCGGCACAGCGCCTGCCTGGCAAGCACAAGGTCCTGAGTTCGATTCCCGGTACCTGGAAAAAAGTATAATTCTGTATCAAAGAGCTCACCTCTGTTAGCACTTGGGTGTGTCCTTTCATACTTTTTGAGACAGGGTTGTGCTGGATAGTTCAGGCTGGACTTGAACTCGCTATGTAGCCCAGGATGGCCTCAAACCTGTGGCAATCCTCCTGCCTCAGCCTCCAGAGTGCTGAGATTACAGGTGTGTGCCACCATGGCCAGCTCATAGGTGTCTTTTTGTCTCATTTTTATTGCATTCTACCTGTTAGCAAGTAGTTGTAGGCCCTGTTCCAGTTTTGTCCAGGAGATGGGGCTAAAGCAGGGAGCAGAGCAGCGGATGTTCTGGGGGAGAGAGACAGTAAGTAAGCTAATGGTCTGTGCAAACAAGAATGACCGTTGTAGGAGGAAGGAGGGGGCCTGCTTTAGAAAACTATTCAAGGAAGGCCTCTGAGCAGCCAGCATGGAGCTGAGGATGACAAGAATGAGGCTGCCCGGAGTGATCAGAGTGAGAACATAGGCAAAGGCTCTGCGGTGAGAATGAACTTGTGTGTGAATAAAAGAGAAGGAATGTTAGGGGCCCCGGGCTTGGTGAGCTAGGGAACAGACAACTCTAGAGAGGTACACACGGATACTCTTAGGAATAAGAGCAACAGGAAGCCTTCTGGGGAAGCAGGGAAATGAGGAGGTTTGTTGTTGCTGTTTGGTTGGGGTCTCCTTGTATTGCCCAGGCTGACCCAGGACTCCTGGGCTCAAGTTATCTTCCTGCCTCAGCCTTCCTGGAAGCTGAGGTTACAGGCACCATTTCAGCTGTAGTGGGGGATGTTAAGCTGAGAAGTCACACATTAAGAGCCACACTTTTCTTCATCAGTAAATAGATATTTACATTATTTTCATTAGCCACATCTTATTCACCCTTATTAATGTCCTTTTTATTCTCTTTTCTTAGATGTTATCCTCAGGTTCCGGGACAAGATTGAGAAGATGGAGAAAGATGTGTATGCAGTGCTGCAGCTGGAGGCGGAGGAAAGAGAGATGCAGCATTCGGAAGCCCAGGTGAGGCTGTGGGGAGGGCCTTGTGGCTGCCCAGTGAGCCAGCCACGGGTCCCTATGCTCCCGCCTTTGAAAGGCTGACAAATCGTCGGCGCCCTCAGCGTCCGCAGCCAGTGGATGGGCAGATACAGCCCTCATGGCACATGTCCTTCTACTATCCTCACAGATCAACACAGCCCAGCGGCTCTTGGAGAAGGGGAAGGAGGCAGCAGACCAAGAACCTGAGAGGAGCTGGTTCCAGACCAAAGAGGAGAGGAAGAAGGAAAAAAGTAAGTCAGAAAGATTCCTCCGAAAGCGAAACCTAGAATTACCGCAGGACTCAGTGGTTTGCTCTTAGGTGCACACCCGTAAGAACTGAGAACAGGAGCTCCTACAGGCACTTGTGTGCCAGTGCTGTTTGAAGTACTAGTCATAGGGGCCAAAAGGTGGAAACGGAAATGTCCATCAAAAGTTGAGGGCCGCCGGGGATATAGCTCAGCGGCACAGAGCCTGCCTGGCAAGCGCGAGGTCATGAGTTCAATTCCTGGTAACCCCCCCACCCACAAAAGTTGAGGGGTAAACAAGGTGACATATGTGTCTCACACATGCTTACTGGAATATTACCTGTAATGAAGGCCTGAAACATGCCACAAGGTGAGTCTTTTTTTTTTTTTTTTTTTTTTTTTTGGGTTTTTGGGTTTTTCTCCGGTACCAGGAACCGAACTCACGACCTTGCGCTTGCCAGGCAGGCGCTTTTGCCGCTGAGCTAAATCCCCAGCCCC